AAAATTGTAAGGCAGGGTCACGCATATGTTTCCTACTAGACAGCTTCTCAAGAGTTTCTAAAGTTTATCAAATAACTAGCTCTGGCAACCCGGCTTCAGCCCTGTCAATATGCAATGATAAAGATCGCGATGCTTTGGTGCATTTCCCTGTTTTGGACCCACTTCTATAAGTCAGTTCCCTGTACCGACTATGTTTCTGTAATGAGCATGCTCGCTTACCCATCTTTCACTCCCGGTTTTTCAGGTCAAACTTCGCAAAAAATCGATAAAATCAATGAATGCAATGAGCAAATTTCCTACTCATCGTTACTTCCGCTATCATCATGCTCACTTATCCCCCGTGCCAACTCCCAGCCCCGTAGCTCGAAGTTTGTAAGAGATTTATGAGATGGACAAAAGTAATGGGTATTCCTGGATTATTTCAATCAAATCTAACAAGTTTATCGCAAAAGTAGGAGATTACGATTTTGAAAATATTGCAAGACTATGCTAGCCCAATATCATCGCAGAGTATTACCTTTGTATTTCTATATGTAAGGGATCACGGTATCCATCATGTATTGCAAAACAAGTAATAATTTACTTTTTCAGATTTTGCCTGTAAAATTGTTAGCGGATTTCTGTGCTGAAAATTTTGTAATCTGTCTATTTTAGGTCCGCACCGCCCGACGGTGTAGTCAACATCATGCACGAGATGGAGCTCGTCCATATAATCAGCATAGACGAAGTAAGACAAGTCATACGAGTCCTGGTCTACGTTGTTGAAGTGAGTTTAATTATACAAGAAATGCGGAAATCAACTGCATTTCTTCAGCAATGGGATGATCCTACACTTAGTTGGGATCCAACCAATTTTTCTGGCCTTCGCTTCACTTGGTTACCAGAGGATTCAATATGGATTCCAGACATTATAGTGTTCAACATGTTGGTATTCTTTGTGAATACAACCCAATAGTCTTATCATAGAGATAAAGGAAAATGTGCCCTCTCAAGGCTGGATCATCAAGAACTTCTGCATTCCGTACGTTCTCCGGTTCACATCGAGTACAATGGAAGGGTCACATTTTCATATCCTGCTATCTACTCAGTAATGTGTAGAATAAGTGAGTGAAATTCTTAGGTGTGTATAGTATGCCAGCTGTGAGAGAGATTATAGAAAGAAACATTTTAGACGTGGCGAAGTTTCCGTTTGATACGCAAAAGTGCGATCTCCGAGTAAGTCTTGCCAACTTTGTTATGCTTCCATTAGGTTGTGCGGCGCTATTCCACTTAATACAACCCAAAAACTGAAAATCACGGA